TTTTTTTTAATAATAATAATAGAAATGTTATCTTATTAATTCTATCTCATCACTTTTTTTTATTTTTTATTTTACAGCTTTATGGATTCTCAGAAACAGAAGCTATCTGATCCAACAATTCTGGCTAAATTAACGCAACGGATGCCAGTTCAAACAACTAGCGAATTTTCGACCAAAACTTTTTTACCGAATGGAGGAATACGTTGATCTTCAATACGGAACTATAGGAAATTTATATAATGGTTTAAGAAGGAAAGAAAAAGAGAGAAAGAAAAGAAAGAAAAAACTTAAACTGAATTTGGTATTTATGTGAAGTAAGCAATGACAAAAAAAAAAAAAAACATGAAGTTGTACTAAAATGTTTTTTCTTTTTTAAATTTCATTCCACTTCTTCAAACACTTTTTTCTTGTTAATTACAAAAAAAGATATGTTTTTTTCTTGTTTGTTAACTATTAAAAATATACATGTATTTATATACATATATATATATACATAAATGTATGTTTTGTGATTTCTGCTAATATTGGTAACAAGAAGAGCAAAGAAAAAAAAAGAACTCTCATCATAGTTGATGCCATTCTATATGCTTCCTGGTGGTTGCTTGTTGTTTTCTTTACCCCAAACTAAAATCCATTACTATAGGTCTATATGAAGTTAGTCTTATTTTAGAACAACAACAAGAAAAAAAATTCAGTGTTGGAATACAGTGTACAAAATTAGGTGTAAAAAAAATATTTTTCTTTTTTAGCTAAAATTTATTCACTGGAATACAGCATTGGTAAAAATGTTAGGCATACCATTAGGTAACTGAATAGATCAATGTTGTTTTTTCTTATCTTTTTCTTGTTACAAGTGGAAAAAAGAAAATTTAGGCATTTTAAGGTCAACGATATTTTGCCGGTTAGAATAAATTATGGTTACTGTTTAAGAACAGAATTGTAGAGAAAATAGACGACGTTGGAGATGAAGAAGAAAAAGAAAGAAGAAGAAGAAAAAAGCTGTGATCTAAGTCTAGGAAAAGATGATTTCTTTGAACGTTGAAGGTTTAGCCTTAGAATTATTATCCCGTCGCTTCCCTTTCCGTTTTCACACAATCCCCCACCCCTTCTCCCCTCCATCCCTCTCCTCCTCCTCCTCCCAAAACTCTGTTACTCATCGTTCTTTCAGAAACTTTTCGATCATTTTGTTTTCCTCTTTTTTTTGTGCTAATAATGTTGATTTCATTGTAAGCATTTTTTTGACACTGTTATCATCATTTTCTATCTGTTTTTTTTCCTTCTAATTTTTTTTGTGTGTTTTAATATGTAAACCAATTATTGTCGTTTATCATGTCTTTATTTATTTGAAGGAAATAAGAAAAAGAAAATTTATTTCATCGGTTTGATCTCCATCATTTTTTTTTTAACTTCTACTTTTTTCCTTATCTCGTATGAATGGTTAAAATGTTTTTCGTTTTTTTTTCTCAACGTTGTATTAATATAATAAAAAAGAAAAAAGAAAGTTGGAATGTTGATCAACATATTGAATCTTTGTTTGATGCATATATTGAAACTTGTTCAACCTATTCTTCATGCTCAACTGTTGATTTTGAACAGTTTGTCATCAGAAGTAAATGTGTTACTCTTAACAATTACATTTAACAATTCACTAACAACAGACTGTTTTACAAGTGACAAGTATAGTTTTTTTCAAGCTTTTTTTTTTTTTTTTTCTGGTTACATAGAAATCTACTGAACAGTTTGTTTGATCTTAGCGCAGACTTCGGACTAAACGGCAATTGGTCGGTTGACCAAAATACTGCTTGAACTACCTTATTAGGATTGTCTGCCTGTTACCTACACAAAATATGTGACAGCAATTTATAGCCAACATTCATTAAACCGATGATATTTTGTTGCTTGGTTGATGGTGATTTGGAGCAGCATAGTTTAAATGTCTTTGTGATAAATTTACCTGAAAACGAACATTTCAATAAAAAAGCTCAAGAAATTGTTCTTAAGTCTGACAACTACCTCATAAACGGTTTTTCCTTTCCTTTTTTTTTTAGTAAATAAAAAATGGGTAGAAAAGAGAAGGAATTGCCTGGTAAAACCATCATAATTCATCTTATCCACATTATACCCTTATTATTTATTGTCGTAGTTTATAATTTAACTGTTAATAGAAAAAGAAAGAGTAAAGGTAGCAACAAAGAATATAAATAAGCAAAAAAAAAAAAACAAATTTACTTCTACTTTCAAAACAAAAAATATTTTTTTATTGTTCTGACATTACAGCTATACTCATCTACAGAACTGCTTATGTGAAAACAATAACACTAAGCAGTTGGTATAGGAGAACAATATCAGCTGGATAAGCAAATGATTGTCAATTAATTTGTAGATCAACCTCTTAAACCCAAAATTCAATTACTCCAAGTGACTTCAGAACCTTCCCTCTTTGGGTCTTCTGCTCTTTTTTTCCTTTTTTAGTTCTAACATTTCATCTGTTAATTGACTGTTTTGAATTCTTTTATTTTTTTGTACAATGTTTTATCAAAAAATTTTACTTATTTGCTATAATTCTTAAAAGCTTTTTCTTTTTTTTTCTTTCTATTAAACTGCTTTGAGCCAATAATCAATCTTGGTTAATGCAAATAGCTGAGAAATTATGATATATTTTGCACACATAAATTATGAACGATTGTTCCCATTTTTGATGATTAATAAAATGAAAATTGAAAACACAAGAGAGGAGAAAAGAAGATTTGTTAAGACTTTGGTTGTGCAGCTGCTGTTGCTACCGTTGTTGTCATTTGCTGAAAGCTGCTCGAGCAACCAACTACTCTACCTACCACACCTGACTCTTCTTCATTTTTGTTACTCATATTTCATCATGTTTCTCCTTCTTTTTCTCCTTCTTTTCTCACCCGTATCGGGCCACTGAAAGTTTCTGGTGACAGCAGTACTTCTTCCTCGTTCTCTGTCTTGCACTCTTCATTCACCTCTCTTATTTCATTGTTACAGTCTCCTGTATCATTTTTCCAAGATACAGCACTAAACCAAACAGTTTAGTTGCTAAACAGCACTTAATGCGATGTCTGCTATTGTTGACTATAAGACTGCAAATCAAAAAAAGCTAAATTAACTTATCAAAATTACGTCACCATTGCGGAGATAAGGAGGGAAAGAAAATTTTTTGTGCAAAAATGCGTTAAAGAAATGAATTGAAGCTGAAAATAAGATCTTTTTTTAGCTTGCTTTGTTGTTTTTTTTGACTAGTTTTAAAGAAGGAAGTGACGTTTCCTCTTTTTTTTAGGCAAGTGTAAGTTCCAAATCTTCCGGTGGGTTCATTTTATTGTCGTTTGTTTTTGCTGCTCCTGACGCTGCTAATGCTACTTCGGTTTTGAGAATGATGCTGCTAATGCTGTTGTTGTGGTAGTTTGGGAAAAAAATACGTCAGAGGAAAGAAGTTTCCTTCATAAATTTTCAATTTAATTAGGTTGGAAAGAGATGACGAAAAGTCTGCTAAGTAAAAAATTGTGCTTTTTTATAGAGTACCTGACATTGCTGTTAGTCGATCAACAAAAAAGAAAGAAGAGAAGGAAAAAAGTGATCGTTATAGCCTTCAAAAACTTTTCTCTACACATTTGCTTATACGTTAAAATATAGATGTATCCAAAAAAATTATTGCTAAATTCAGATAGAAGAAACTTTTACGATTTTTTTTTGATGAGTAGTTGAAATAAATTTTTCATCTTTATTCATTTTTTTTTGTCATTATTTGACAGCTAAGTAACAGTGATTCTTGATCCATGTTACATTAACTAACTTACGCCAAAACGGCTCTTACTAACACTGCAAAAAAAAAAACTACAACTAAACTAGAAATAGATATTTAATCAAACTGAGCCACTTTTTATTCTACGGCAATAACAGTAAATTTGCGACTTGGAAACTTTTTGCTCTCTGATGAGTTGGAATTGAAAAGATGAATGCGAAGAAAAAGAAAACGAAGAAAAAAGGATTACCGATTGATCTGATGACTGAAACTGTGCCTTTTAATTATATCTTAGCCTCATTTCAACACTTTTTTTTAAGTCATATGAACTGACGACACCAGGTTTTGCGGAGACTGCAGCCTTTTCCTCTTTTGACATTATTTTTTTAATTAAGAAAACTGAACTAAAAATACCTATATATTTTTTTTGAGGATAAAAAAAGCCTTGTTTTTGCTGTTATCATGGTGGTCGTTGAGGATTCTTTTATTGTTACAGTAGTGGTTTTTTAAGCACTGGCTTTCAAATGCTATTAAAAGGTATTACAACTAAAATTCAAGACTGTCTGACAGTTGTAAAGAAAGTTAATAGATTTATTTGAACCTTACTCTGTTATGTGATTTTTAGTTATTTGTATAATTATTTGTTTGCTGTTTATTGTTGCTGTTGTTATTGCTGCTATTGCTGCTGCCACTGTTGCTGTAGTGGTGGTCTTTTGAAGAAGGAGAAGAAGAAGGAGAAGAAAAAAAAAAGAAGAGGAAGAAGAATAATTGATATTTGAATACGTTCTTATAAAATATAACTACGACAAATTGAATGCTAATTATTGGGTAATATGAATCAAGGAAATACATCCAAATAACAACTGTGCATTTCCTGTTGCTTAAGCGTTTAATGCAGACATCGATAAACTAAGTACCACAAAAAGGTTAAAAAGATCAACTGATCTTAAGACATTTATTTTTTTTTTTTGCTTGTTGTTTTTGTTCACTTTTCTTATTATCTTATTTGTTTATTTGTTTGCTTTAGAAACTAGCTGAACAAGTAAAAACTTTATTAAATTTACTTTTCTTTTTCTTTTTTTTTTATAAAATACGCCTAAACGCTATTAGTATTACTCGTTTTATTATTACAGCATAAAGCGCTAGTGTTCAGAAACTATACTACAATAATGAATAAAAGTAAAAAAATCACATCTACATAAACTTGTTGTGTAAAAATAAAAAGTATAAGCATAGTAAAGCAACATTTTTTTTAGGGTTTTTTTTTTTAGTTTTTAAAAAGTTAATTTCTCTTAACATTAATTCAACTTTAAAACTTTTGTCATTGGCAGTATCATAGATTGTACTACTTCTGCAAAATATAAAAGCTGTTTAAAACGTAGATCAACGTTAGCTGAACAAA